GTATAGTCTCTTAAAATTAATGAAATATTGAATGTTTGATAAATCTTGCAGTATTTTCATTCTTTATAGTATTTTACCTTAGCAAATGAATTTATTGCATATTTAATTCCAATGCAGTCCAATGTAAATTATTTGTTATATGCATACTATTTTCAGATATAACTTATCTGGAGAAGTAAATTTCATGTGATTTTTGATTCGTAGTAATTTTATTATGATTTTTGAGCATTATAAATAATTTTCGAAGTGATTAATAAAGTCATAATATACGTCAATTTATCACCACACATTTGTTAGAAAAAAAGTCATATGGCTGACTATTATGTTTTTAAAATTATATCTGCTGCAAGACGATCAACTACCTATTATATTAAATCATATGATTAGACATTCTAAATTTATCTCGACCTGACATCATCGTATCATTCTGACTGGATTCATCTGCAAACAGTTTTTTTCTATGACGGAGGTCAGATTGATATTGTTCAGCTCTTGACATATTGATAACCGCTATTTCGTAATAATCGAATTGATCTCAATTATTTTCAATTAGATATACTAGTAATAGATAGGTACAAGCAACTTTGAATTTTTAAGTTATTATAATTAAAAGTGAATCTATTACTAAAGGGCCGTCAGATCATTCACACGTGGCTGATGCAAGTAAACTTCATGCAAGAATTGTAGTGGCAAATATGAAAAACGAAGCTATTCACACACAACAATTACCACAACAAATAATAAGTACTACACAAATACCAACTGGAGTGGTGGGAGCAATGCCATCAATAAGTTCAATAAAAAATACACTTCGTCGAATTCGCAAAAGGAACGACTGCGTCCCTACGGATCCAAAATCACTTTTTGATCTTAATATTCTTGAACAATTTGGAAAAACGAAAAATGGCGCACAATTTCTATTGCACGATAGTGGCCCTTCAAATAATCGAATAATTATATTTTATACACATAACAATTTAGACATAGGTAATGGACAACTATAGTGATTGGTTTGCTGATGGCACGTTAAAAACATCGCATTTAATTTTTTCACAAGTTTATACAATATATGTATTAATTAACGAAATTATCATTATACCCATACTATTTATGCTTTACTGCCGAACAAAACTGAAGAAACGTATATTCGTCTGTTAATAACTTTAAAAGAAATTAAGCCTAATTTAAATCCAAAATCAATCATAACAGACTTCAAACGTAGTGCTTTTAACGCATTCAAATRTGTATTTCCAAATATAAAACAAAATGGTTGCCATTTTCATTTCACACAATCTATATGGAGGCATATTCAACAAAGTTTAAATTAGATCCTAATTTTGCTTTACATATAAGAATGATATCGGCTGTTGTTGTCTTTGTGCCACCAAACAATGTTATATTCGCGTTTGAAGGATTGTTGGATTCCCCATTTTTTTGCGAAAATGAAGAATTTCTTAATCCACTAACTAATTATTTCGAAGACACGTGGATTGGACGACGAGGAAGAAAAATTGTTCGGAAATCACCGTGTTTTAATATAATGTTATGGAACTGCTATGACATTTCCAAWCGCCAGGTGGCCAAAACCAATAATTCTATTGAGGGTTGGCATAGATGAGGTTTCAGCTCACTGTTAGGTACCTATATTTTATTTGCAGATAAATGTAATTAGTTGATTAATTAATTAACTTAATATATTTTAAATCTTTAGCATCACATTATCCATTCATCTGGAAATTTATTGAATGCCTTCAAAAACAACAGAATTTGGAGGAAATTAAATATGAACAGTATCAATCTGGAATAAATAATATAAGGAAAAAAAGTACAAAGATTCGGCTGAACGGATTCAAAAATTAGTAAATATGTACAACGAAAATGATAAATTAAATTTTTTTAAAGGAATTGCCTATAATTTGACGTATTAATTTATTAATATTTTATTAGATACAACAAAAATAATAATTTATTGTTGTCATAATTTTAATTTTTTTTTAATTTTTCATTATTTTTTATTCCCTATTTTATTCTTTCAATTAAATGATTTTCGCTGTTTTGTATTCCATATTTTGTGTTCGATTTTTTATTTTCGCTATTTTGGAGGGTGAATCGACTGGCCCACTGTGCTACTGTGCTACAGCACAGTATTAGGCCACGGCGATAAAAAAAAAAATCTTTTCTGAGATTACAGAATTGAGAATAGTGACCAGATTATCTGTTTATAGCACCTTGGTACCTACCTAATTATATGTTTTAAATGTTCTCAATGCACAATTATAGAAAATCCTATATATAGGTATTATAAAATATATTGTACTGAAATCTAGTYTGAATCAATTTTTTATAAATGGATTACAGTTGAGTGTATAAATGAAAATGAGGTGAAGGCTGTATATTGTACTATATGCAAAGCATTTAATACATCCTCTGGGTACTTAGTAATTTTAACAGTGGTTGCACTAATTTCAAAAATATATATTCTGCTATTGAATCTCATGAAAATAGTAAAGGTCACTCATTAGCTGTCGAAGCATATTTATTAGCAATAAACCAAAATAAATTAATTTAAAAAAGCGGGTAAGTGGATGTCGCTCAGCTGTACATTAGGTGGTGGGGTGGACCTCTGACTAGGGTAGGTTAGATTT